ACAGTTGTTGCTGGTTAGCCTGGGTAAGATCGATCGGGTGCTTGGGGTTACTTCTTTGTGAGAAAAATACGTCTGTAATTGTTGAGCAATTGCGCTGATTATTGTATGTACTACTCAAGATCTTGAGGGGGGCTTTCCGACGGATGTTCGGCTGGCGTCGGGTACGGTCGGATGTAGTTGGGAGATGAGATGGATTGTTGATTCTTTGGGCTGTTTTGTAGGCATCGGGGCTGATGTGAGCTGGTGATTCACTTTACTTTGCGAGATACTTGCGGATGTCTGGGAAGAGGTTGTTGTATGATTCGGTATGCAGGTGGTGGTGCATCTATTGTTCTTGCTTGCTTGTTTGTGTATACCTCTAAATTAGTGGCTACTGTAATACTAGGGGCAATCGATGACGACGACTCCTCGACCGCGGAATTATTTCCTCGCGCTCCCTTTCCGCCGCGCCCACCCCGGCTATTTTCCTTGCCGACGCTGCGGAATAATACCTGTCCTGTGCCTCCTTGTCGATCTTTCTTTCTTGATGATGATCTAATGAGGATTTCTTGTTCAGACTGCAATGCAATATATCTGATGCCGATCACAAATTCCCTCGTAACGCCTGCTCTCGTTCGAAGGCTTCGAACAGACTCTTGAAGTTCCCGGCGCCGAATCCATCGAAATTGTTGCGCTGGATCACCTCCAAAAACACCGTCGGGCGGTCTAGCACGTGCTTGGTGAAGATCTGGAGCAGGTAGCCCTTCTCGTCGAAGTCCACCAGGATGTGCAGCTCTCGCAATCGCTCGATATCCTCTGCGATCCGCGGACCACCATCGGAGAGCCGCCGCCGCAGCTCGATATAATACTCCTCCGGGACGCGCAGGAAGGACATGCCGCGCTGCCGGAGTCGGCTGACGGCCGTGACGATATCGTGCGTTCGGAATGCGATATGTTGGACTCCAGCGTCGTTGTAGAAGTCGACAAATCTGTTGGTGAATTCTAGTAAGCTTGTGGTTGCGGTCGGCAGTTGATGGGCTGGGCTAGGTACGCACTCCTCGATCTGGGACTTCTTCTTCCCCGGTGCTGGCTCGTTCATGGGCATCTTGATCACTTCATTGGGTGACGCGACGACGATGGAGCGCATGGCCGAGTATTCTCCACACATGCTCGAGTCGTCCACGGTCCAGTACCGGTGGAAGTTGAAACAGTCTTCGTAGCTGCAGTGGTGGCGCTTAGTATGCATTCTCTCAGCATCATGCACCGGGTAGACTTACTATCTCACGATGGAGCCGACACCGTTCGAAGGCTGGTTGCCGACGCAATGGTCGATTTCGATAAAGTCGATCTGTGGAAGGAGTCGATTGATGGGATCCTCCTCAACCACCGCCTTGTAGCCGGGGAGGAAAGGCCCTGAGTAGTGTTGCCGGCTGATCAGCGTATGCGTCGTGTCTCCATACGCCCCTACAGTAGCCACGCTGATGCTGCCACTGTCTCCGTCTGCTAAAATCTGAGGTGCCGTGATGGAAGTTGCACCGTTGCCGATCGCTCTCTTCCAGATACTCTCCACATCACCATGGATCCTGAACGCGACATCTTTGACTCCGTCTCCGTGTTTGGTCAAATGAGCGTGGATCTCAGCTAGAAAGGGCTTCTCATCGCACTCAGACACAGCGCCCTCTGTCTCTGATGGAGTACGAACGGGCGAGGTAAGGACAAAGGTGGCGCCGTGATTGGCAACCACGTAGGACACGATATTCCGAGACCCCGTCTCGGGTCCCCGGTATGCAACATGCTCGAAGCCCAAGCGAGTGATGTAGTAGCTTGCAGCCTGCTTCGCGTTGCCAACATACCGTGTGATATGGTCGAAGCCCACGTATTCTGGGCCCAGGTTTGAAGGAGAGAGCTCCTCCTCGGCCTGAGACAAAATAGCCATGGCAAGGATACAACTCGTAGAGAGCGATTGAAGTGAGGATAGACTTTACCCGTGCACCGGTAGACAGCACGCCTCATAGTCCGGACCTTTTTTTCTTGCCCACTCTAACCCTGTCTTATATCTTTGACCGCGTGTTTGAGTTATGTCGTGAAACCCAGATCTGCTCCGATATCGCCATGATAGGATTGTATTGTCGTTGCAAGGTTTTCCCCTTCTCCCCTTGAGTTTGGACGACGGCAGCAACAAGGTTCAGCCTCTGACATCTCCATGACATGCTCCCGCCAAGGCAGGTTTCATCTGAACCAGGTCCCCAGAGTGCTCTCCAGCAGCTACTGTAGCCTGGAGCAAGCATGTGCATGTCACAAGAACACTGCACTTGTTTGTATCCTCGTGTTTCCCCCCCTAAAGGTCATTGACCGGCTCCGGTCGATTCTTGAAGTAAATTTTGTATCGCACCACCTCGACCACCTCCAATTCGTCACTCTCGTGCCCCCCCGCGGAACCCGCCGGCGCCGGAGTCGGCCTCCGCTGCACGAGAGCCAGCGGCTTCGGCAGCTTCTTCACCTCGCCTGTTATGCGTTGGTAGCGTCCGACGTAGAGGTAGACCCGCTTCATCCAGGCCGAGTCGTCCGCGGGATTCTGGGGCGAGTAGTCCGGGAACATAAGCTTGCCGATCGGAGTCTCAAACACGGAAGCCCCGTCGGGAGTTTCGGCGGAGTGCGAGCGTTCATCGTGGGAAGCAGGGATATTAATCGTGCCTTGGAGTTCCAAGAGCGCTAGGCCGGAGGGAGTTTGGAGGAGGTGGGGGAGAGGGTTGGGAACGCGTGAGGGAGCTCGCGACGCGCGCGGGTGGAGGGTGATGGATGGCATGGTGAGATAGTGCGATAGTCAGAGTCGAAAATGGGAGCGAGGATATGCTCTGATAGGGCGCTTGGTCAGGTTTCTGCACGGCAATGAGCAGTATGTCTGCTGGTTCTGGTGGGTTGAAAGATCAGTGTAGAGTCTCTGAAGCCGGGTGGGAAATTAGCGCGTCGCGCATGCATTGGTCTCGCGCGCGGTATCTTATCGGCGTCCCCTTTTGATTACAGTCGTTCGTCACATGAATTGATGTTAATCATGGTGACGCCGCAACGTCGACAGCGGTGATTTATGAATCATTGAATATCAATCCTACGAAAGAATATATGTGTGAAAATAGGAATGGGCTCGACGAGACAAGGTGCAATCATAAGACAGAAGAGTTAAAATTCCCATTTCATTTATAACTGCTGGCGAAAATGTGCCCATGCTATGCCAGAAATCCATAAGCTGCCCAGTCATGCCCCAAGTTAGGTTGAGTGCTCTTGGTACCAAAGCGAGCTGAAGTGGTATGGCTGGTGCTGTCCATGATGGATCGATCAGGCCGGGTTTGTGAGCCGAAAATAGCGAGGCGTTGCTGGATGGCTATGCAGAAAGAGTGCGATTCGATTAGTCTCTCCTTTCGCGCAGTTTTGACAGTACCGTGTCTTCGAGACACAGTGTTCCTGCAGAATAACGCAATCTGCGCTAGCAGATCCTGATTCAGGGGATGACCAGTGCTGCGGCCGATCATAGACGGCGCGCGGATATGTTGGCGGATCATTGAGTCGACCGACAATCTAGTGATCAGAAGTAAGAATAGAAATTGACAGATACACCAAAGTCGGAGATTATTGCTATCGGAATCGTTCAGCTGTTGCGGTAGCAAGCATTCTCAAGGTTCTGGAGACCCCTTATGGCCTCGTTGACTACCTCCTCGCCTGTCATGCCCACAGGGCCTTGCATCTTGCCATACCGCAGGTCACTCAAGTCACCCACCAGGCCATTGAGATCGGACAGGAGTGAGCTTGCTTCCTTGTCGACTTCGGTCACCTCGTGTTCCACGTTGGAGCATGCCGTCTGCATAGCCGCGAGGAGACTCGATACTGAGTGGTAATTAGACGTAGAAGTCGTCTGCCCAAACAGCTCGACATCCATGTCCATCTCGCGCTGCTCAGCGGAGCTAATGCCATCAATGCCTGTCTTCATCAAGGATTTACGGAGCTCTGCCTTCTGGCGTTCGCCCTGAACTGCTTCCTTGTCAATGTTCTCATTGACTAGGTCCATGTCCTGCTCGCGAATCTCTTGTAGTTCACGATAGAGAACCCTGATGTGCGGGTGAGAGCGTAGTCTCTTTGGGAAGAGCTCGGTGAACTGCTGCAACGAGACGATCGTTGGCAAGGGAGCTGGGGTCAAGAGGAAATTGCTCAGAATGGCTGTCTCTGAAGGTGCCATGATGGATCGTGTTGCCTTAAGGAGCGCGGCTATCTAAAACGAGCTGGAGGTACTCAGCTCTTGCTTGCCGGCCCGAATGGTAGTTTCTTTCTCTTAGTGAAGGACGATATTTGGTGCCCACAGTGGCTGTGGTGTTATGCTTAATCGGGACAAATCGCGTTCCAAGCCAATCAGAAATTGGAGACGGCGATGTAGGTGGGCGATGAAGGGGGAGAGAAGCAATTCAAGAAAAATAGATAAAAGAGTAAATGTTACTTTATTGTATGCTGTGGCTTTGGGAAGGGTTGTAAGGTTGCACGTAGGGTCATTCGTTATATCAAAGAGTAAGCGAAGGAGTGGTGGAGAGGGAAGAAGAGGAAGGGCGAATGTTCCAATTTAGGCCATCAGGCCGTGACTTGCCCTCTCGGACGCGTTTCTCTCCAAACGGTGATCCCGCGGGCTTCCTCTTTCTTGCCCCAACCGCGACATGCGATAACTAACACTCACCAACTCAATCCCTGCAGCTTGTCTTTCCCCCCAAATCTCAAGATACTTCATTCATGCCCGTAGTATATTGACTTGTGGCTTCAACTATCGCACGTGAGACATCTGACCAGCCTCCATCCAAATTCATGACATTGACCTTGACCCTAGCCATCCAAACAGACATATCTCTCTTTCTGAGGAGATCAAGACAACTCTCTAGCGGCTGAACCACTTCCAGCTTGGAGACTTGCAACTCTGACACTGATTTAACTCTTCTTGCCAAGGGGCTTTATCCGCTCAAGGAATTCAGTCAACTTGTTGCACGTGCTGTTCAGGAGCAAGAGCACTGATCGGGGCTAAAGCAAGCAGTAGCCCTGATACAGGAAAGATTTGCCTCTCCTGGATTCTCTCACAGCTTGATACAACCCAGGTATCAGTGTTCTGTGTCGTTGTCGGCAGCGTCATTCTTGTGACCAAAGAATACCCCTCGCCTTAAAACATCACTCACCTATCTCATCATGGCACCTGCAAGCCACATGAACTATCAGAAGGACGAGAGAGTCCTTTGCTTTCACCATGAGATTCTCTATGAAGCAAAAATTCTTGACCTGAGGCACATTGATCCGGATGACCGCAAGAGTCCGTACGAGTACCTTGTCCACTACAAGGGGTGGAAGAACACGTACGTCTTATCCTCGCCTTATCACTCGTAATCACTTCTCCTTATTGAAATCTTGTCAAAAACTTACCCTCATGGCCTCGAAAAATGCTATTTCCCATGTTTTCGTGTCGCTCGATGTTTTGTTACCCCATTCTCTGCAGGAGAAGGGGTTTACTTCCACCTGTGATTGTCGATGTGGCTGCTGTTACCCTGGGCCGGTGGGGCGGGATCATCAGAGCCTGGCTGACTGATATGCTGGTTTACTGCAATTAGATGGGACGATTGGGTCCCGCAAGATCGACTTCGTAAATTTACTGATGAGAATCGAGAGTTGGCCACGACTCTTCGTCGTGAGGCCGAGGCTGCGTTCCGCCAAAAGAACGTGAAACCCACTGTGAAGAAACGGGGAGGCTCCGATCGCAGTTCCGCCCGGGACAGTGAGGAGAGGCAAACTTCAGTTCCGGGCCGCGGGACGAAGAGAGCACGAGAAAATGATATTGAAAAGGTATGTTTGCTTCTATCTCTGTGTTCAAACATAGGCTTCGCCCGTCTCGCACATTATTGCAGTGTCTAGTGACAATGTGCCCAAAGGATAGGCATATTACTAACAGTCCCAATACAGGAGGAGAGCTTCTATGTCCGGCCATCAGTGCGGATTGCCATGCCCGATAATTTGAAATCTCTTCTGGTCGATGATTGGGAGAATATCACTAAGAACCAGCAAGTGGTGGCACTGCCAGCCAAATGTTCAGTTAGCCAGATATTGGACGATTATGTAAAGGAGGAGAAGCCCAAGAGGACGAGCACGGCTGATCTAGATGTTCTTGATGAGATCGTCATGGGTATTCGCGAATACTTCTACAAGGCACTAGACAAGATCCTCCTCTATCGCTTCGAAAGGGAACAGTATAGTATGATCCGCAAGAGGTGGGAGGATGGCAATGGGGATTGGGCCGATAAAGGTCCTCTTGAGACCTATGGCGCCGAGCATCTGACACGGCTTTTTGGTAGGGTTCACTTCCTCACAACTTGCTGCGAATGCTAACCTCTTGTTCTTATAGCGACCATGCCTGAGCTCATCGCCCAGACGAACATGGACGCTCAATCCACAACCAGGCTTCGGGAAGAGCTCTCTAAGTTCACACTCTGGTTGAGCCGCAATTCGGCCAAGTACTTTGCAACTAGGTACACGAATGCCAGCAACGAGTATATCGAAAAGTCGCGCGGTGCTCCAAATCCAGCTCCGGCCACCGCTACCTCGCGTCTTGTCTGATGAACTGAATATGGGAGTCCTAGCGATCTGCGGCAGTCGATCTCGTGGTGCGTTGTTGATCTTTTCGAATTCTTTTGGGGGCCAATTTTTTGTGTTGTGGACTATGGTCGAGCACTAGTCTTGTGGCGCTCTGATGCATGCTACGATGATGCTATCACTGTAACATTAATAGGATAAAAAACCTGGCGGAAGTTTCTGGCGTCCGAATTGAGTAATAATTTGTTTCCTTACGGGATAGGCTGGCCACCGGACATGGTATTGAAATTTGACACTGCAGAAAACGCATCAACCATTTAACCAAACTCGCGCACCATGCATACACAGCTTCTTCCGCAGGTCGGAAGGGACTTTCTGACGTAGACTTTATCCCCCCCCCAAATGCTACGTGAAACAGAGCTCTCCTCTTCTACCCTCTCTACTCACTACCAAATGCACGAGTATATCTTCAAGACACACATACACACACACACACACCCCGACTCACGAATTGTCCTACGCGACTAATTGCCTAGCATCATCCACGGCGCACCGCGCCGCGCGCTTCAATTCCACCTTCCAGTCCGCCTCCCGGAATTTCTGCCACGCACTGAGACCTTCCAGCGGCGGGATACTCAGCGTCTCATACCCTTGCTTGATGATGCGATGCACCTCCCGCGGACTGAGATTCTTCTTCAGGTTCGGAGACACGGGCGCCGGGCTCTCGCCATCCGCCGCCACACCAGCCTCGCCGCCCTTATCCGGGACAAACAGGAGGGTGTGGAAGTGCGTGGAGACGGAGATCAAGGTTTCGATCGCGGTGACGTGGACCTCTGTGCTACTGGATGAGGTGGTCGGGTCCGTCTTGGGAATGTGGCCTACCGCCACCGCCGAGTGAGGGCCGCTGATATTGCTGCTGCTGCTGCTGGTCTTGAAGGCGTACACATCGCGGAATCGGGCGATGATGGGGCCGGTCTCGACAAGCTTGTAGAAGAGGTCATCGTAGCTGGACGGGTCCGGGAGAAAGGTGTCCCCCGCGGAGACGCAGAAGGCGATCAGGTTGACCAGGGTGGTGGTGAGGGTGTGGATGTGCGGGGTGTTGGTGATGAGGTCGGCGACGTAGGTGGTCAGGAAGCGCATCAGGGAGAGTAAGGTGCGCCAGAGTTCGGACCAGTGGTAGGTGAGGCGGATCTTGTTTTTGGAAAGGTAGGTGAGGAGGCGGAGGAAGATGGCGATGCAGTGGCTGGATTTGGGTGTCAGACGTTTTTGAGAAGGAGGGAGTGTGTGTTAGATTGGGGAGATGGCGGGAAGGAGGGTTAATGGACGTACCTGTAGAGATTCACATCGAGGCGACGTCGAAGGTTATGAGTCAGGGTATCAATGAGGATGTCGAAGATGGCTGTGGTGGGGACTCGCTCGCCGACTATGAGAGGCAGATATGGTTGCTTTTGGCGACAGAGTCGGACTTTGCGCTTGCTTTCGTCGCTGCAAAGTTGTTTGCAGAGGGCGTTGTCTTCGGATATTATGCGGAGGATCAAGAGGTTGAGCTCTGCGTAGTGGGCGGTCCGCGCTGATCGGTAGGCATGCTGTAGAAGATAGGATGTCAATGAGAGGAATGATGCGAATGGCGACTCCTCGTTGTCCTTCTCGGGGGCCAAGCTGATGAGATGAAGCCCGAACAGTTTGTTGGCATTGATGAAGTCGTAGGTAGCTAGGAGAATGGCCGCTTGTTGCGCGGGCCTGCTTTCGTTAGCTGGTCCTTGGGACAAGAATGACGCTTGTTGAAGCTCGTACAGTGATGTAAATAACTCCTTCGCCTCCTCGGCAGTTGGTGGATTCGGCCGATCCTTCTTACTGGAAGCAAGAGCGCCTAAGCCAAAGTACATCAGCGTGCTGATCAAAGTCCAGCCCTCGGGAGAGTCGTCCTGCACGGCAACATATCCGTTTCTGAGGGCTCCACAGGAGCTACCAACTCCCCTGGCGATCTTCTGGATGCTCGCTTCATTCACAAAGTCGTCAAGCCGCAGCTGGTACGGATTCTGCATCTCGAACTTGTTGTAATTTGCTAAAAGCCCGAGAAGAAGAAACGGCTCGAATACTTGCACGGGCGTCTCTGACTCTTGTACGAACTGCGCTGCATGTCAATTTGAGTATTCCGACGGACGGAAGAGGTCGTCGAACGAACCTTCATGATTGAAGGGAATAGGTCACGATGCGTGAGATATGAGACGAGGCTGGTCTTATATGCGCCAGCAGTCATTGCCATAGCAGTCTTGATGGCCTGGAGCCGTAGCGCATCTAGATGACTAGTCAGCGTTTGACCACAACTCTTCCATTACGCTAAAAACTCACAGGTTTTGCCATTGCGAATGATCCCATCCAAGACAGCGACGAAGTTGAAGATTGCATGGTCAACATTGTCGAGACCGGCGAGAACGGTGATCACATCTGAGCTGGGATTGGTGTATTTCTTCTTCAAGACACAGGCTAGAAAGACCGTCAAGGTCTATTGTCTGCTTAGAGTTGGGAGTTCAGCTTCGAGGAATATTGACCCACCTCAAGAGCATACGAATCAACGGGACTGGATCCCGACGCAGCTTCACTTATGGCACGAGTGAAGAGCTGCTGGGTTTGAGCCTGCTAAAAAGTGAGCGATGGTCATTCTACACCTTCGAACTCATAATCACGTGGACCATTGACCTGCAGATTCAGGGTTTCATCAGGACTGAGCTGATTTAGTAGTGCATTGAGCTGGCTCCTATCCGGTGGCAGCAAAAAGAATTCTCTCCAGAAACCCTCCGAGGGTTCTGCAAAATCCGTGGTCTAGCAGATTGGTCAGATTTATGTGATGTAGAAACATAGGTTGATGTACATACCTGGAATAAATTCTCGTATAGTTGCACGATCTTCGGTTTGAAGGTTTCCGGTCTACTTTGCTGGGTCAAAGGGGAATCCATTATGCTTAAAGATTGAGTTGGACGATCGGCACAGAACACAAGATCATGGCCAATATTGTAGATAAGAGCAGAGAAGTCAAGGCTGACCTAAATGCCTGGCGGACGAGGAGGATGTTATTGACTTCCTATGCTTTGAGGGGGAAATTCAGCGGTCGTCGCCTTATTCGACACCACTCTTTTTCTGCCTTTTTAGGCCATCAATCCCCACCACCTGGTTGGCACCACTACAAGCCACATCCCCTATCTCTCCCTCCATCTTTCCACGAGCCTGTCCATGTTTCAAGGAGAGACCAAATCAAAACACCGCTACAACAATGTTCGAGAAGCACCTTTTCACTTGAAATCTTCTCATCCATTAATTAAAACTCCTTGTCCCAATCTATAGAAGCTAGCTACGAGAACATCTGCTTGTTGCCGATGACATAATCAGGGGATGTGCGACCTACGAGTAAGTTTGACCATGTGGCATCTTCATGAAATAAACCGTCAAGGGGGGTCCAGAGATTATGACCAGTTTTGAGGAAAGGTTGGTGGTGGTGAGAACATAGTCTACTGCCCGTGTAGCAGCCCTGCCGAGGAAGGTTAACCCGGACATACATTCTTGATCACCTTTGAATTATTTCGGCCTAAACATAGCTTAACAATATGATAGGACTCCTGTAAATTGATGTTTGTCGAATGCGGAAGAAAGCAGTTAGTCATCTGATTCTAAGTTGACACCTGAGGTGCTCAGGTATCAAATCATGACTAAGAAACCCATGTCCAATGGCAGGGCAGTGAATTCATGCGTTGTGTGAATGACGGGGAATGAAGCAAATCATGATGAACGGAGAACAAAAAAATGAACATGCCACTTAAAACCAGTCACTAAGGAATGGTAATCATTAGTTATTGGGTCTTAATCCAGTCTCACTCTAATGGATTTACTCAGGCTTCCTCAATTTCTAGTCTAGAACAGCAGAGTGCAGTGGCGCCACTTGACCTGTGTAGAAACACCTCAATGCTGATTGGCCGATGCGGACCTGGCCCTGACCTCTTTTAACCGACTCAGGACCCGACCCGGCGTTCTTCCGCCTCCCCCAAACAGAACTCGATCTTTCCCGACTCACTTCCATCCTCCTCCTCGCATCCTCTATCACAATCACTACCGTGACCCAACAACCGTTTAGAATCCGTGGAAAATTAGCTATACGCTGTTCCTGTCGCTTCATAGATCATCTGCTATCGAATTTCAAATCACCGCCTCGTTTTATCACAGTCACGATGCAGTCTCCAGTGACATCATCCGCCACGCTGCTCAGCTTGTTGAGACAGTCATCGAGCAGACGCACAGCGCAGACATGCCGTCTTTTCTCCTCCTATGGAAACTCACAGCGCTCTTCTTCGAAGCGTGAGTTGCAGACTGCTACCGCATACCGTCCACACAGTCTGCCCACTTCCTTCCCGCCACCTCGGAGCCCGGGGTCGTCCGACACCTCCATTGCCGCAGACTTCCCCTCCTTCCGCGAGATGACCTCGCCCCAACTTCCTGGCCAACAAGCCTATTCTCCGAACATCAACCTTCACGAAGCCGAACCACAGAAGTCCAAGCCTGTCGAGACCTCTCCCGCCACTACCGCTAAGCCCGCCGAGAAGCCCCGCAGAAAACTTCGCGCCCGCAAGGCTGCTATGAAAGTGACCCCGGTGGCCATCGAGCAACTTCGTAAACTCTTGTCCCAGCCAGAACCCAAGCTGATCCGCGTGGGAGTCAAGAACCGAGGCTGCTCTGGCCTCGCCTACCACTTGGAGTACGTGGAGAAGCCGGGCACTTTCGACGAGGTCGTGGAGCAAGACGGTGTCAAGGTCTTGATCGACAGCAAGGCTCTCTTCAGCATAATCGGAAGTGAGATGGACTGGCAAGAGGACAAGCTCAGCAGGAAATTCGTCTTCCGCAACCCCAATATTAGTAAGCATAACCTGGTCTCACCGGACAACCGCACGGAGCGCATACTAACAATTCTCCTCAGAGGAACAATGCGGATGCGGTGAATCCTTCATGGTATAAGTCGCTGATCTGCGCTTCCATCCGACTTTGTTATTCAATAATTGGATGAACTGGGTTTTGGGTTTCTACATGCATCGAATGGCGTTCTGTGGGCGGTCTTCTTTGGCGAATGAGCTTCTTCCTTCTTTTCTTGAACATACACTCTGATTCCCGGGCACATAGCCCACCAACTGTGCAATATATTCTTTCCTCTCTTTATACATGTGGATGATAACACCTAACAACTCTGCTGATCAGACTGCGCCATCGCACATGGCAATATGTGGTGGTCCAGTCATTCTCAATACATATAATTGGGGAAGACAGTTCGAACAGTTATAGCTCCAACTTGAGTTAGGTGTACTGAAGAAAGCTGGGTTGGTCACATAGCCTAGCTGTCGGTAGCACGACAACAAAGACAATTTACTCATAATCTCCATATGTGCCCTTGCTAACGATGTTCACGCGAGCAACTATGTTTGATTAAAAATATCCAGAAACAGTCTTGGCGCGCGTAAATCAATATAATGTGCATTAATCCGAATTTGACGCAGGTAAAACCACTGAGTTGCTGGGAGTAAAAACTGGTACCCGGGGTAACAAGCTCAGGGTCAAGCACTGCTTAGTCTGTGCTAGTCTTGTGGCTTCAGCATGACGCCGTCGCCCTATTCCCAGGTTTTATACATAACACTAGACCCAGAAAGGGTCAGGTGCGTTGCTCAGGCTGCAAGATGATCGATGATAGACTAGGGAAAAGCAGTAACGACGTATCACGTGGGGATAGCATTTCGGACAATCAGCCCCATTTCTCCGCTTTATCAGCTTATCGACGCTCCCCTTTTCGTTCCTTCATCCCGCACCACCTGTGACGCACGGCCGTATCACTTGCTTCCCTACAACAACACCTCCATTTAGAAAAAAACAAAAAAAGCACAATGTCGACGCCGACATTTCTCACTCCTGATCGCACGCTCGACCTCATTAATCCCACCCAACCCCCACTTTACGTCATCATTCGCTTCTCAGCCTCGATCCCCGACCTCCCCCTCGACATCTTCTCCCCAGAGACCACCACATCCGCCGGTCTGAAACAACTCATCCGCACACGCCTGCCCCCAAATCTCTCATCCCACCGTCTCCGTCTAATCTACGCCGGTCGTGGCCTCGAGGATGCCACCCCGCTCGCCGCATCCCTCAAACTCCCGCCCTCGCCTTCCGCCCGCTCCACCCCGCGGCCCCCGGAGGACGACGAATCCACCGCCACCTCGAAGGGCAAGGGCAAGGCCCCCGTGCGCGATCAACCCCGCCTGTATATCCACTGCTCCATCGGCGACATCGTCCTCTCTCCCACCGACCTCGCCGCCGAAGCGGCCATCGCGTCCACCCTCCGGCAACCGCAGGACTCAGATTCGGAAAATCAGGACGCCCACAATGGATCGCCATCTGGCTCTCGGCGTAGGAATCAGGGGCCCGCGCCTTCGGCATTGGACTCCGGCGCGGCGACCGCCACGACACCCGCGCCCCGCGGATTCGACCGGCTGCTGGCGGCGGGGTTCACGCCCGCGGAGGTGACGGCGCTGCGGTCCCAGTTCATGGCCATCCAGGCGGTTTCGCGCACGCCGGATACGATGCCCAGCGGGGCGGAGTTGCGCGAGATGGAGGATCGGTGGATGGATGAGGGGTCGTCGGCTGTGGCGGCCGGGGGAGGAGTCACTGGTGGTGGTGGTGGTGGGGAGGGGATCTCGTTTGCGGACGACGATGGTGGGTTTGGGCCTGGGTCGCGGGGCGCGATGGACGATATGCTTTGGGGGGCGGTGATGGGGTTCTTCTGGCCGGTGGGCTGTGCGATGTGGTTGCGGCGAGAGGAAGGGGTCTGGAGTTGGCGGAAGGGGTTTGCGGTGTTTGTGGGGGTGGTGGTTAACGTTGCCTTTGGCGCGATGCGGATCATGAATTAGTTGTTCTGGATGGTGTTCTGTTTCGGCTTTTCTGGTCTACTTGAGCGGGATACCCTATTGTGTTTTTTTCTTTCTTCTTCATTATTTTGGTTGGAGTTATTCAATGCGTTCCATGTAGTGCTGGGCACAATGATTTTGGATTAGAGCTGGAAGAGTGCTATCGTACAAAATTCCGTGGAGGAGTCTGCTGATGCAGACGTGTATATGTCGTTAACAAAGTACTACAAAGGAAGAAAGATGGTCATCCCATGGTAACGCCTGCTGGAAACCCACGCTCAGTGGAACTTGCTGTAGATCACAGCGAAAATCAAAAGAATCAACACAGTAATGATTGCAATGGTGATCAGCCGATTCGTAGCCATCCTATATGATGCAAGTTAGCACTGATCCGTGCGCAAATGATTGCAGCAATTGCATTGCTGCGGGGGGTTCGGCAAAAGGGGCCAGTACCTACGGGCCATGCCCCTCAATGTCTTGATACTGGTATCCACATAGCCTTCACTCTCCAACAGGCGACCTCGAGCATTGATGATGGTCTCCCGCTGCTGGTTCAGATCCGCCAGCGTGTTGCGGCCGATGTCCTCCGTCTCGAGCGCGATGCGCTGACTCTCCTGGAGCCGGGCGGAACTGCGCTCCAGGCGCTCTGTACCAGACAGAAGTTGCTGGCGCTGTTCCAGATGCTCGTCCTGCGGGTCATCCGTGTACCGGTCGCCGAAGAGGGCTTTGCGGTCGTCCGACAGAGACCGCAGCTTGCGCTTGGCCTCATCAATGTCTGTCGCGTAGTTGCGGACCCGGGTGTTGATTTTCGATCGGGCGGAGGAGGGGATGTTCTGTTTCTCCATGCGCATTTGATCCAACTGTGTTTCGATGAGGGGAAGGTTAGATTGAGGGGTTGAGATGTATCGCGCAAGGGACAGGCGTCCGGCAACGCACCAATTCCGTGGCCTCATCCAGTGCTCTTTCCGCTTGCCGGATGGCAGACTTCCGTTGTTCACCGCTCGACTCGGAGATCTGATCTAGCTTCTGGTTGAGGTCGGCCTGAACCAGCTTCAACTCGGTCTCGTAGCTGCTGAACAGCTCGGAGCCGGCATCGGTGTCCAACGGGTTCGACATGGTGGTATGGGTGTAAAGTGACACTGTTTGAGGGGTTGGCTATGGCGAGTGTCCTCGAGATAGTAATTGAGGCTTGTTGAAGTAACGGATCGATAGGGGGGGGGGGCGTCGTGGTGGATCGGATAAGGCGGAGAGATGGCCACTTGTATCCTCGTGGTGGCTGGCCAGTGCCCCTGCTGGATCTCAGAGGGATTGAGCCCGCCTAGAAAGGTCAACGAGCGGATGAACTGGTACGGTGACTGAGTTGGGCCCTATATGAAAACCCGAACGCTGATATAAACAAACTTCGACCGATGAACAAATTAGAGATGAAGATGGATGAAGAAAGTCACCGAGTTGGTTGAAGTGCCTATTCCATACCAGGAACGGCCGGCGGCTTCCACTTGTCGGGCGGGCGGCACGTGATTGGGGCTGGTCTCCTCCCAGTCCGAGGCTGCCACTGAGTATGATTTCCGGACTGACGTCGCCAATTCAATATCAATTACTTCTTTATGATCCTATTGTCTTCACTTATTGTTGCTTTGACTCGGTTAGGCGCCCCCTCGCGTGGCTTTTTAATGAGCAACGTTTTCTCTATCTTCTCACTGTCAAACACCTGTAGTATACTTTGACAGCGATTGTCATATGTGGACAAAGGCGCGAAGGAGTTTCTCAGTCAAGTGTTGATCGCATCCCCCCGCTCAACTTATTGTTGGCCCCTCTTTCCGCCATTATCGCCTTGGCTGGGTGGAGCTGCGACGGGTTCCCTCTTGCGTCTTGACCGCCATACAAGGTCGCTTCCTTCGATCGATCTATAACTCATCCCCCTTATAAACCAAAAATAAAGAGGTCACGCACCTTTTCTTCTGCAGATCAACGTCAGAAGATATTCCTGCTTTGCCCCAAAGGATGGCTTGAGAGGCTCACAGATCTCTATATTAAGCTGATTTACCCCTCGGTATTCCCGTCATATGATGTGATCACACCGGAAAGCCACATGAGGGCAAATCGGAAGCAATAGTAGGGCAGAGAGAATCTGAACGTGTCTGCGCTGATAAGCCTGTCGCCTTCACTTGCTGCATTGATTTCCACAAGCCTCTTTTTATATTACAAGCCCCTGTCAGCTTCCGCGGTAGAGGCCAGGACCATCGCCACTGTCTGAAACTAAGACACGAACCTTGAATCGAGCGACTTCAACCGCAGAGCCAGCGAGGAACTCCTATATCGGACTGCAAGAGCCAATGGCCGAAGTGACTGTCGAGTGCCATTATTCTCATGCCTGTCTCACAGCGAGAGCGTGTCGCTATAATAGGGGGTGGTTGCACGGGAATCACCTCGTTCTGGGCCTTGCAGAGGTCCGGTCATGACGTCCACCTTTTTGAAGCCTCTGATGCTCTCGGCGGGCGTATCAAGTCACTGCCTTTCGAGCATGAGGGCATTCAAACGAACGTGAATTCAGAATCATCTGTCTACAATGTTGAGGCCTCTCGTCAGTGTCATTTTCCCATGATGTCGTCTGGACTGGACTGATTTGCAATCCAGCAAACTTGGATTCATTGCTGCGCTACCTGGGAGTGTCGACGATCAGACATCGATTCAGCGTCAGGGCAACTGACGGAGATCGCAGTTCCTGGTGGAGTGACAGTCTATTGCAAAGCATCCTTCTGCGGCCCTGGATCCTTTGCCGCAAGGAGACGTACGTGATATTGTCGGATATCATCTGGCTCAAGTTCTTAGCCATCGACGTGCTACGTAAGGATGTCTCGCCATACACGACCAGTAACATTGATTCACTTCTCTCTGCCAAGAGATATCTGTCGAAAGAAGGATATTCGGCCAGCTTCCGTGATGAGTACCTAGCTCCAACACTTTCGGTTTTATGGGGCACAAATGCTGACAAGCTCCTTTCACGGCTACCTATCGAAGCTGCTATCCGCTGTCTGTATGACCATCAACTGCTTCGGCCGCGGCAGAATGCTCCGAAGTGGCGTAGCATAGAACGGGGCGCGAGCCGCCTGGTGCAGGTCCTTTCTCGCGATTTTGATCCTTCTAGGGTACATTTAGAGGCGAGAGTCCGACGAGTGACCCGGTACGACAAGAAGGTCTATAGACTGGTTACAGCAGATGGCCGTGAAATCGACTTTAATCGCATCATTTTCACGGTCGATAGCGAAGAGGTCGTGCAGATATTGGGGCCTCTTGCGAGCGCGCAAGACAGGAAGATCATTGGGGGCTTGGGAACAACGAAGAACATATCTGTGTTGCATTCGGATTCCCTCGTGGGTGAAGGCGTAAGGCCCTCAGCTCAATTCGTGGCGGGTGAGGGTTGGGGAAGCGCTGCTCACCAGTTGGGCCAGCTTCTGCTTGAAAAAGAGCATTCTACGACCGGCTACACCTATGTGCTGGAGCCCATCGTGCCTGGGCGCTCATCCGAGGACTCAATGCCCCGGAAATCTAGCCTCAGCTATAATGTTAATGCCTTGGACAGTATTTCAGCGTCTCTTTACGGTCCGATATACATCACGCTGAACCCGATTATGCCACCTCACCCTAGCATCGTGCAGAGTGTATGTGAATTCACTGAGGCAGATCCAAGCTTCAGCACACTGCAGGCACAAAATGATCTTGCGCTCATTCAGAACAAACGAGACTTGAGCTACGGATTCTGTTGGACGGGCCGTGGGCACCTCGAGGATGCCATCACTGCAGGCTTGCGGATTGCGATTGAAGACTTGAACGCAGAAGTCCCTTTCCCAGTCGAATTCCACTCCAAATTTTTCGCGGCGGACCTGCCCCGTCCAAGCCTGAGCCTCCCTCTTCACATAATTCGGACTCTACTCCGCCTACTCCAAGTTTTTGTTCTTGTTCTGGAACTGCTGATGCCCTTGCTGCCTGGACCGGCCTCGCGATTCATAGTTCGCCGCCACAGACACTTATCGGGGCAGGAGCCTGGGAAGCTATCTTGACAAAGAGAACAATGGAAGATCTGTAAACTGCTTAGGAACAATAGACTGAATAGATCTCTTACCGAGACTTGCGCCGAGTATACAGCTCATTGGGGTATAGCTACTTCTGACTGCTCTCGGCTAGAAGTCTCAGATCCATCTCTCACGATGGCAGGCACGGTATGATAAGTTGCCAGCTAAGCTTAGAATCTTAAAATTTTCATATGGATCGTTCCACTCCATCTGTCTGTCGAAGTACATCACAAAAGAAAAAAAGACAGGGATTAGGCCAGACCAAAAAAAAGCTTACGTTCATTAAACTCCGATCACAAAAGGCACCACTCTGTTTGGATTATCTATTTCAGGAACTTGTCGTCATCCTGGCTGACGATCAAAGCACTTCTCTTGGTGTCGATGAAGAGATCTTCGACCTCAGCCACGTCGGCCTCCTCGATGCCACCCGGCCGGCCGTTGACCCGGGCAAGGATGCTGGCGGGGGTCAATAATTGCAGAGCATAGCGCAAGCTGACCTTGCTGCCGTGTTCCGACACCTTGTCCAAGGCCGGGTCGGTGATGGTGATGCCTTCCGTCTTCGCGCGGAGGCGAATGATGGTCTTGATCTCGTCGTGGGTGTAGGGGTGAGTGGGGATGATGAGGAGACGGGCGAGGAGGTCGGGAGGAATGCCGTGGGCGGCCGAGATATCGTCCGTGCCGCGGATGACGGTGTGGCCGCGATTGGAGGCGAGGATGACGATGGGGGAGATGGTGGATTCGAGGGCCCGGTTGAGGTACGTGAAGCATTCGATGTCGAGCATGTGGACCTGGGGGGTTGTGTTGTCAGAATAACTCGCACGTATTTTGAGGGAATTTATGACAAACCTCGTCAATGAAAAGAACACCAGGGACAAGCTCTGCCACACCTTGGTCGATGTAGCGGTTGACGACCTTGTTGATCTCCTGGCGCAACTTGTCCGTGATCTCGGTCTTCTTGGGCTTCATCAGCTGGCCCATCATGCTCATCACGTCCTGTCCGCCCTGCGGCCGGGCGTTGGCCATGTCGAGATCGTGTAGCGTCACGTCCTGGACGATTTCCTTCTTCTTGTGAACCTCACCCTTGGGCACCGGGACGTACTCCTCCGCCTCCAGATCGAATTCGGTCGCATATGCATCGGAGCGTCCCACACGCTTGCACGCGCCGGTATTGGCCTCAATGTAGATGACGTCTCCCACCGTGACACGCTCCTTCTGGATGGCCTCGTAGATGCTGGGGTCCAGGCGCAGCTTCTTGGTGCCCTTGGCGGACTTTAGTCCGATGATCAAATGGCTGATCGTCCGTCCATATCCCCCCAATGGGTTCTCGGCCTCCTCGGGCGTGAGCTCCGTAACTTCGCCTTCGTACACTTCCTTGGTTTCGCGGACACGGAGACCTGTAGATGAATTTGCGTTAGCCGCGCGCCAATCTTTGTCGCTTCTGCGTTCGCAGCGACAGCAGCAGCGGTAATGGGGATCATTTACCAATTGCTCTCCGGAAATTCTCCATCAGCGCCTCCGTCTTCTTCACTTCGGCAGAGTAGATCTCACTGCCGACGATGGGGCAGAATGGGACCTTGGTTCCCAGTTCCTGCGATACGGCAAGAGCCAGAGCTGTCTTGCCCGTACCAGGACCACCGGCCAAAAGCACGGCACGGCCGGCCATCTTTTTCGCCTTGATCAGATCAACAACAACACCGCATGCCTGTGAGAAGAAAATACATCTTGTCAGCCAACGATGTGTCTCAACGGGAGCAGAGAAGCAATAGTTCTTGTGCACGGAAAAAGAAGGGATTTGCGTGCGTCGCATACCTCACGGGCAGCACCCTGTCCAACAAATCCATCGCCGGTTGTCTCTGCGGTTCCGTCTGGCCGGAGACCGAGGCCCTTGATGTGCGTATGCGCGGCGGTTCTGTTCTCGCGCGAATTGCCCTTCACTTCACTGATCTGGACCATGGTGAAGGGATTGCGACCTTACTCGGAAGGCCACAGGGAAAGCGAATGGGAAAGTCGAGGGATGAAGATTGAGGGTTTGGAACTTGTTGTTGAGGAGCCGCGAAGAGCTGACCGAGCGGAGCACACAAGTGAGTACGATGGGTTAAGGAGGAATGAAGAGAAACAAACGGTCGGTCTTGGTATGGATGATGCTGAGCCTGGAGCAACTGCTTGCTTGCTTGCTGCTGAGCGGAAATTCCAATCGATCAATCAGAGCGGTCGATCACCAAGGCGGTCAGCCGCAACGCCCAAATTCTTTCTCTCCCACTCCCGCCGGAAGTGCGTCCAGGCCTTGTCTAGGTATTATCGCCCAGCAGCTTGAGATCTCTCACTCACTCCTCAATTGGCCGAATCTCGCCATCGAATTGCCCGGCAGTGACTCTGTCATGGTCAAGAGCTGAATTCTTATTCCTCTCGATTTTCCACAGACAAAATACAGGATGGCGGGCCTACAGACTCGCTCGGCCATGTCGCTCCCCTTCACCCTCTCTGCGGCTTTTCGCAACCTTTCACTCAGCACCGCGAAGCGGTTCTTCTCCACGACACTGCCTGTACAGAAGACGCGAAAACTCCCGGACCATATTCCACCCTACCCGTACGGCCCCAACTATGTCTTCAAGCAGTCCAACTCCGGTCTGTACGGCGGCGCGATGATTCGATTCGGCAACAAGATCTCCGACGGCAAGAACGAGGGCAAGACCCGCCGATCCTGGAAGCCCAACGTTCGCCGCAAGAAGATCTGGAGCGACAGTCTTGAGAAGTTCCTGTTCATCAAGGTGACGAAGAAGGCCTTGAGGACGATCGAGAAGTGCGGTGGGCTCGACAAGTACCTCTTGGGCAACACCCCGGCCCGGATCAAGGAGCTGGGTATTTTCGGCTGGGAGCTGCGGTGGCAGGTGATGAACTCGCCCAAGATGCAGGAGAAATTCGAATTGGACAGGCTGCTTCACAACGTCGAGAAACCTCAAACCTTCGAGGAGTTTGTGGCGCAAAAGGAGGCTGAGAGGAAGAAGAAGGCGCTTGACCTGACGAATATCAAGGCATTGACGAAGCCTACGCTCAATGAGAAGCAGTACTGAGGGGGGACACAAATGATTGTTGAAGTTGTGAGAGGTGTGGGCTTGTAACCGTCCTGAAGCATCCGCGGTTCAAGACCAGGGGATGAGAACGTCTGTTGTATTATATCTATTTGCGATCATGGTCGACAGTATTGCGCAGGCAGCGTCAGTGGAGTGCCCTCTATCTTGCTGACTGCTTGTCGAGAGAGAAACTCTACAGCTGTCCGGCTTCGATTTTCTTGCATTGATTACCATGGACCTTGCATGTTCCGATTTATTGTTTGCTGTATTTATACTTCATTTCACCTTGGCCAATGATATTAGAATTTGACTACTGGTCATCGAGCAGGGACTTTCTTTAGCTGGTGAGGCGTACGAGACCGAGCTAGTGTCTATAGTACTGTACAATGAAGCACACCGATGTACAGTACTACTATTGATATGGTGAGTGAAGCGACACGGCATGTGCAGTACTGTCCTGTCCGGTACAATGTAGCCAAAAGAGTCATGAGTAACGCTTGGCTCTATAAAGCAATACTGCATCACTCAACCAGCCTGAGCCGTATACCACAAGACAAGAGCTAATAATATCTCTGGAAAGCACATACTTAGGACGGACTTGCTCGGGCCCTCTGGAATGTTGCGATATCTCGGGCCAACCAAAGACCTGCGGATTGATAGCCGGAAGCGGCAGAACGGCCCCCATCTCTATGCGGTGACGCTTTGTCCGACCGAAGTACTCGTACTTAGAAACGATCCAGCTTCATCTCCAACGAATTTCTTCCTCACCAGTCACCCAGCATTCGCTCGCTGGGGACAGATTTTGACAGCATGCAGTTCGCCTTACCTCCTCGGAGGGCCCCGATAACTCCTGTGTATGGACGATCCTCGCGATTCTCGTTACAGCGCAGGAAACAGCTCAAAGCCATTGCCCTCCTCGCCTTTGCGCTGCTCACCATATTCTTCCTTCTCTCCCAATTCTTCTACACGAGCACTGGCACCCCTGCAGTGTCCGCGAGCACCTCTAGTGTGGTCATCATCACAGTGTTAGATCGGGTTGTATTCAGCGAAGATTACATCGAGAAGATTGTCAAGAATCGGGAGGACTATGCGAAGCGTCATGGTGAGTAGTGGTGGCCCCCCGGAGAGGACATGGCGGTTGACACATGATGACTACCACTTTTGTCTCACTACAACTGACACAAACGCACTCGCTGCCAAATTAGGGTATACGAATTTCTTCGCCAACGTGTCTGACTACGAATCCTCGATCGGCGACTCGCCGCAGAGCTGGGCCGTCATCCCCGCCGTCCGGCATGCGATGGCCTCCCACCCTTACTCGCAGTACTTCTTCCACCTCGATGCGCACGCCCTGGTCATGAACCCGAGCAGGTCGCTGGGGTCGCATGTCCTGGAAAAGCAGCGGCTCGAGTCGCTGATGCTCAAGGAGGTCTCCGTCGTGCCGCCCGACAGCATCATCAAGACCTTCTCGCATGTCCACCCCGAAGACGTCGACCTGATCATCACCACCGACAACGAGGACATGAGTCCCGGGAGCTTTGTGCTGCGGCAGGGCGACTTCGCCAAGTTCTTCCTGGACTTGTGGTTCGATCCCCTGTACCGGAGTTATAACTTCGCGAAGGCGGAGACGCATGTCTTGGTAAGGAATTCTATTGTGTTCTCTGCTTTGCCCTGCTTCGGTTCACCCTGGGCGTTCTGCAGGCGTTGTGTCACCATAACTATACTCACTCACGTCATTTGTTTCGCTCTCTAGGATCATATCGTCCAATGGCATCCGACCATCCTAGCCCGGTTGGCGCTCCTGCCTCAGCGAACCATCAACGCCTACAGCAAGGATTGCACGGCGGCGGCGGCGAACGGCATCTACAAGGACGGCGATCTTGTCATCCGGTTCCTTGGCTGTGACACCGATACGAAGCGGAGCTGCGAAAAAGAGATGGAGCCCTACTACCGCCTTTGGCAGACCAAATTGAAGACTGAGTGATCCCTGTTCACTCCAACTGGACTCTTTTACTTTCTTCTTGCTGGGATTTGGAGTTGCGTGGCTGTGGGCTTGGGGGGAAGTACGAAACTGTGTTTCTTGTTTTTTCTTACTGGTTTATTGTTCCCAGGTGTTCTCTGGAGTTTCATGAGGATGCACCACATAGAGCGAGCGCGTGTATTATTAAAGGTTAAATTCGAACTACTGCCTCTTTTCAGTATTTCGCATCAGGAGGCCTTTAAAAGCACCAATTGCGACATTAGACTCGATGTAGCGCCCAGCTGTCATGCGGAGTGAGTGTCAGGTGCGATAGGGGAAACTAAATTGCTGGTGGGTTTTTTCTGATCACTAATTTTAAGCTTCGTGGCAATGTCTCATCCATTCGTCGGTTCTGCTTTTTTTTGGGTCGTAACTTTGAGATTGTTGAACAAGGGCAAAACCATGTTCTTCATGACGTGTGACTTGTTTGGGGGCAGCAGAGCCCACCAAACGATGCTTCTCCCCCCTCCTCCTTCCCCATGACTCTATCTCCCATTTCACTAATTTTAAACGAGGCCAGGGAAGAGAGCAAAGCGCTTGCGCTTATACTTGTCGCCAAACTCCTTGCGGTAGCGACGCTCCTTCTTCTTGGCCCAGATGGCCATCTGGGCGGAGCCGACGACGATGAACAGGAGGACGCTCCAGCTGAGGCCGCTGAGCAGGTAGATGCCGACCCAGGCGACGATCTCAAAGAAGTAGTTGGGGCAGGTGACGACGCTGAAGCCGAAGCCGGTGGGGATGCCGCGCTCGGTGGTGCCGGGGCGACGCAGGTCGCGCAGGATGCAGTGGGCGTTCAGGTTGGCCAGCTCGCCGAAGACGAAGAGGGCCAGGCCCGTGTACCACAGGAAGGCGTCCCCGTCGCGGGCGACAGCGGGGCTGTCCGGGCGGAAGACCCAGTAGGCGATGTTGGCGCCGGCCAGGAGCCAGTAGTGGCCGCTATTCTTGAGGATGTTGCGCGCGGGCATCGTGGCGTTGCTGAAGCGGTGGATGAAGATGGTCTCATACTCGCGCTTGATGAAGTGGACGGTCAAGAGGGCGCAAACCAGGCGTTGGAAGTTCGAGGGCTCCGCGAGCGGCTGGTCGAAGTTGTAGTAGATGTACGGGCGGAGCGGATAGAGGAATAGGTAGGGGATGATGAGCGGGCCCAAGTATTCGATCAGGTAAACGGTGCGCCATCCTAGTTGAGGGCCTGAGGAGCGAGGGGAGATGAGGTTAATTCTCTGGGGTGTTTCTGTTTTGGGTGTTTCTGTTTTGGAGTTGGGATGTTTGGGCCATACCTAGGTCCTTGACGTGGATCACGCTCTTTTCCTTCAGGCCGGTGCCATCGACGGTCAGGTCCTTGGAGTTGGGAACGAGCGTCCGGTCGCTTCCCTTGGTGATGCGGAGGCGGTGGATGGAAAACTTGGAGGCTTTGGCCAACGCTTGGTAGATTTCCTCGGTCGAGGAATTGGGCGCTACTTGGAGCTCCTTGGGGAGCTTTCCGATGGGTTTACCTGGAGATAAGTGGTGTTAGTCTGGCAAGAAATAGGTGGGTGGAATCGGTTGGGAGCAGGACTTACCCCGGGGCTCAACAACTAAGGTTATGGCCATTGGAACGAGCTGAGGGGGGAGCGAGTTGGAGATGGACCGCTCTGCTGATAGCAATTGATAGCCACCAATGATGATGGATTAGTTGACTGAGGGGTACCAGGACGTGATGGAAGGCTGTGAAGATTAGTCTAGGATCCAGGACTGAGGCCGGAGATGCGCGAAAATCACCCTAACTTTTGGTTGAGGGAAAGTTGGGACCTTCTGCTTCACTGCAGCTTACCGCGCTTAACTTACTCGACTGGGTAAGCTCAGAGCCTCGGCTTCCGGCGGGCGGGAACCATCACGTGGCAGACCGCCCACAGCCGCATAAAGAAGGGCATTAATGGGGGGCTGATTCTTATGAATTATAGTGCAGAGTGGATTCATGGTCGTTATGATTAATTGATTAATTTATGGCCCACCATCTTCAGCTGAAGCAAGCTCGAAGGATCCCCGGGCCGAATTCGGATGGAACCTTCACTCGTATTGTTTTCATGCACAGCCTGAGTCAGATGTCCTGCCTGAGAAAAATGGTACAGTAGCAAGCAAGGCTGAACCAGCGAGCGAACGAACGAACAATGGCACCATCCTTTTTGGGACCATGTGATAACTGACCACTGACTCGGCAGGAGACAACCTTGATCAGACAGAGTCTAGAATATTGGCCTGGATAAACACCCTCTGATATCCCTTCCACACATGGCACCTCGCTTTGATTGTCCAGCTGAGAGAACCCATTGATATTATCAACAGGCTAAACTTGCGACGGGCTAGCGTCCCGAAAACCAAATAGTGTCGCAGTTAGTGTCGGCCTGTCAGCCAGCCTTTCGTCTCTCTCCATGAGTCCATCCGACTCCATCGGCCGTTTAGCACGTTTTAGCAACTTGGAACCATTTTAGTGCCAGGCGTTCCCCGGCACTCTCAGCACCATTCCTCAAATGGCAATGCTCCAATTGATAACCACTTGCCATAGTGATCAAAAGCAAACAAAGGTCGCTGCGCGCACTTTTCCAAAGTGACCGCTGCTCAGCAAATCAACCTAGGATTTCACGGATAAACGGACTCAACTGAGTTTCCAAACCGTCCACAATGTCATTGACAATCCCTCATCCAGACAAATCAAAGCGTGGCTATCAATCACCCAAAGGCCGGCTTTCCATAGGAAGCATCAACCTAGAATTGTCTGTCTGTGCCACCGGCATGGACGACTCGAAAGCTCCAGCTGCACAGTTGGATTGAACTCCTCATCGGCTCACTAAAGTAAGAACTTAACCTAGTCTAGAAGAGACATTTTACGAGTTCTCCACGCTCTCTGCATCGCCTCCCTGATAGGGGCCCCTCCCTCGGTCTTTACCGGTCCCCTCCATCATCTAGACCATGGCGCCTTTTACCTTTGATGTCCCGCTAAGGCACGTCTAATCACGGCCAATTTTGTCTGTCAGCTCAGCGTGTGGCGTAAATCCCGGCTGGAACAGCGCTCATTTGTCCGCATGTCTCATACATACGAATCACGATGTCGTCGGGCTAGCACTTCTCACGGGGCATTCTTCGCCTAGACAAGATGCCAATGCCTCTCATGCCGTAAATTTCTTATTCGCTCGTATCGGGGTCGCCGACTCCCTCTCTCCCCACAGCCACCATGCTGATACTGATTCAATCTTATAAATAAGCATGCCTTTCCCCCTTCTTCGACCGATCGCATTTGCTTGTCGGTGGTCAACCTGTCACGCACAGATACTTTTAGTTGTTGGCTTCTGAAGCCTGTGCGTTTAGACTTCTAGTGCACTGTTTACCGTGCCTGGTTCGGTTCTCCCCGCATTTGGCAGTGCCTCCACATTCTTCGGTTCAATTGCTTGGTTTCTTTTCCCGGATTTTGTTTTCAACTACCTGGTGAGCCACATTATCCCAACGCGTTCGTTATTCTCCTACTTTTGGGCAAGCCCAGCGAGCATATTTCCGAGGGTCCACGGAATGGCTCCGGCGGATCACTTGGGATGAGCAAGCAATGGCACATTCTTGTTGACCTGCTACATTCCCATGGAAAGCAATCGCTAACATCCAGCACAGTGTCGAGATACCACCAGATTATATACTAAGAGGCTTGATTTAGCCCGTCATGGCTACCAAGCAGGAGAAGTCCCTCCTGAACGGTGTTGGAAGCAAGATCTCCCAGGTCGAGAAAGTCATTTCAGCATCCTTACGGCCATTGCCTACTACAACGGGCGATGGAACATACATCACAGAGCAGGTGCAGACAGGCCTCGTCAAGGACCTTGGCCATGTCGACCTCGATAGCGTCAAGGCCATTTTGGAGATTGTTAAGGATACTGCAACAGGCGAGCCGCTCAATGACAGACACTATATCATGGAGCGAGTGATCCAAGTAAGTGATCTAGTTACTCATTCGAATCCAGGCCTGCTAACCCTTTTTTAGCTCGCTTCCGGTCTGCCGTCAACCTCCCGAAACGCAAAAGCTTTGACAAATACTTTCCTCAAACAATTATGGAACGATTTGGAGCATCCGCCAATCTCGTAAGTTGATTGACAGGAACAGAAACTATGTGCTGACCACGAGATTGACCGCATTTGTAGCTACCTCGGTTCGGACCACGTATACAGAAAAGCGGATGGCTCAGGCAATGTATGCACTTCCCCTGATATTTCGAAGACCCTTTCACTAACAAGTCAGAACTTCCTATGGCCTCACATTGGTGCCGCTGGTTCCCACTATGCCAGGTCTGTACGCCCAACAACGGTACAGTCTCCTTCTCTTCCAGAGCCTGAGACTCTTTTTGCCTCTCTCTTGGAGCGAAAGGATTACAAGGAGCACCCGAACAAGATCTCCAGCATTCTGTTCTACCTTGCCTCTATCATCATTCATGGTAAGGTTGAAGACTGAGATGCTTTCCGGGCAGTTAGCTGACAGCTTTCAAGATCTTTTCCAAACCGACCGCAATGATTATACTGTGAGCTTGACATCTTCTTACTTGGATCTGTCGCCGTTATATGGCAACAACCAAGACGAGCAGAATCAGGTAAGGACATTCAAGGACGGGAAACTGAAGCCGGATTGCTTCTCCAGCAAACGTATTCTGGGCTTTCCCCCAGGTGTCGGTGTCCTTTTGATAATGTTCAACCGCTTCCACAACTATGTAGTCGAAAACCTGGCTACCATCAACGAGGGCGGTCGTTTCACCAAGCCGGATGAGTCGAATACCAAAGCATATGCGAAGTACGACAATGATCTATTCCAGACTGCTCGACTGGTGACCTCCGGCTTGTATATCAACATTATTTTGAAGGACTACGTTCGCACAATTTTGAACATCAACCGAACGGACAGCACCTGGAGTCTGGATCCTCGAGCAGAGATGCAAGATGGACTTCTAGGTGAGGCACCAGCACAGGCCACTGGTAACCAAGTTTCTGCTGAGTTCAATCTCGTTTACCGCTGGCACTCTTGTATCTCCAAGCGGGATGAGAAATGGACGCAGGATATGTACCGCGAGTTGTTCCCTGGCAAAGAGCCGGAAGATATCTCTCTGCGAGAATTTCTGCGGGGAGTTGGTCAGTGGGAAGCTCGTCTACCAGAGGAACCTTCTGAACGCCCGTTCGCTGGGCTACAGCGCAAGGAAGATGGATCGTTGGACGAAGGTGAACTGGCTAAGCTGTTTGCGGACAGTGTTGAAGATTGTGCGGGTGCCTTTGGAGCATCAAATGTTCCTTCGGTCTTCCGCAACATCGAAGCCCTGGGTATCATGCAGGCCCGCTCATGGAACTTGGCTACGTTGAACGAATTCCGAAAATACTTCAACCTCACGCCTTACAGGACATTTGAGGAAATCAACTCTGACCCTTACATTGCTGGTCAGCTCAAGAGGCTGTACGAGCACCCCGACCTGGTCGAAATCTACCCGGGCATCATTGTGGAAGACGCGAAGGAATCTACTATCCCTGGAAGTGGCCTGTGCACGAACTACACGATATCGAGAGCTATCCTGTCCGATGCCGTAGCTTTGGTCCGTGGTGATCGCTTCTATACGGTGGACTACACGCCAAAGCATCTGACGAATTGGGCATACAATGAGATTCAGTATCAAGATACTGTTGATCAGGGGCATGTCTTCTACAAGCTTGTCTTGCGTGCATTCCCCAACACCTTTGCCGGCAACTCTATATATGCTCATTTCCCTCTTGTTGTTCCATCCGAGAATGAGAAGATTTTCAAGGATCTTGGCCGTTTTGACGACTACAGCTGGGATCGGCCCAGCCTCACCCCACCTCTACAGTTCATCTCCTCGAATGCCGCCTGTATGGCCATTCTGAGCGATCAAGAGACCTTCAAGGTCACCTGGGGTAAGAAGATTGAGTTTCTCATGCGTCACAACAATCAGCCTCACGGCCGGGACTTTATGCTGTCTGGAGATAAACCACCGAATGCCGCGTCCCGGAAGATGATGGGAGCAGCCCTCTATCGTGACAAGTGGGAGAGTGAAGCTAAGAAGTTCTATGAGGCCATCACCTTGAAACTTTTGCATCAGCATTCGTATCAGATTGCCGGTGTCAATCAGGTCGATATTGTTCGCGACATCGCCAATCTCGCGCAGGTTCATTTCTGCGCGAATGTGTTTTCTCTGCCTCTCAAAACTGAATCGAATCCCAGGGGTATCTTCACAGAACAAGAACTCTATGAGATAATGGCTCTCGTGTTTGCGTCGATCTTCTACGATGCCGATGTTGGGAAATCGTTTGAGCTCAATCAGGGTGCTCGGAGCGCAACACAGCAGCTCGGAGAGCTGACGATGGCCAATGTCGACTTCGTTAGGAATACCGGCTTCATCCAGAGTCTGGTTCACAGTCTGCATCGACATGATATTCTGAGCGAATATGGTGTCCACATGATCCAACGCTTGCTCGCTAGTCAAATCTCCCCGACTGAGATTGTTTGGACGCACATTCTGCCGACTGCAGGCGGAATGGTCGCCAACCAAGCCCAGCTCTTCTCGCAATGTCTTGACTACTACCTGTCCGAAGAAGGCTCTGTCCATCTGCCAGAGATTAATCGACTTGCTAAGGAAGACACCCCTGAAGCTGATGATCTTTTGCTGAGATAGTAAGATTCCCTTGAGAACATACTCCGATTCTGGTACTAACAGACTGTTATAGCTTCATGGAAGGCGCTCGTTTGCGCTCTTCGGTAGCTTTGCCTCGTTACGTGGCTAAGCCCACGGTGATCGAAGATGCCGGGAAGAAGCTGGCATTGAAGACCGGCCAGCTGGTCTATTGCAACTTGGTATGTGAACCAAAATGATGGCTCGGTGAAGTTTTGGAATGCTAACGTTGCATAATAGGTCGCCGCGTCAAGAGACC